TGAAGGCTTTGTTCTCACACTGAACATGTGAGCCTAACTCCCACCAGTCTTGGGTTATTCACTGGTATCTCTTTGCTCTTCCCCCAGTTTCATTCTCTCTCCTTCCTCTTGTTTTAGAAACAGATGCAGTCAGACCCACACAAGCTGGACTTTGGGCTGAAACCTGAGTTCCTGAGCCATCTTCCAGGCCCAAGTCTCTTCTGAGCCATCCATCATCCCCACGATCTGGCACGACCTTCCACTTTGTTCTCTGCCGCTGGTGAGTTCAGAGGCTGAGTTGCTACAGAAAGCTCACGATTCAAAGTGATGTTTCAGCTCAGTAAACCCAGTCACATAATAACTAAAGAATTCAATTTATACCAGCTTGTGAGGTAGTGCCCCACATGGCTAGGGAAATGGGCCCTGCTTCATCAATACCCCCTCTTTTATTCAACATGGACCAAGAGATAGTCAAGTGGTGTTGTAATTACAACATCGGGGAGGCAGAGGCATGCCAGTCCCTAGGCTTCACTGGCCAGGAGCCTAGCTATATTGGTGAGTTCAAAGCCAGTGAGAAATCCTGTCTCAAAGAACAAGGTGGAAATAAGTGTGGTGCCCCATGCCTTTAATCCCAGCACCTGGGATATAGTGGCAGGCAGATCTTTCTGAGTTTGAGGCTAGCCTTATCTACATTGCAAGTTCCAGGGCAGCCAGGGCTATGTAATGAAACCCTGCCTCAACAAAACAAACAAACAAACAAATATGGTGGACAGCACCTGAGGAATGGCACCTAAGGTTGGCCTCTGTCTTCATACTCATGTGCAGACATGTGTACATGCACTTGTACACACATGAATGTGTACACACACATAAAGACATCATCTTTACCATAGAACACTTTCATTGCTTTGGCTTACCATTTGTTCTTATGTTAAACAGATAATAACTCAAAGGAGTGTGAAAAACTATCTAAAAAGATCAGAAAGCTTGCCAGGGCCAATTGGAAGGGAAATAAATCCAGGGATTCTGGAAGGATGACTTTAATCCCACACATTTGTGGCCTGCAGAACAATTAGTGGGTGTTTCCCCACTATGACCCTCACACTGCCTTTTGAGTCTCTTAGGGCGAAGGCGAACAATTAAGATAAGTTAGCTTCATGTGGGTGGTGGCTTGGCTGTATCATGCCAGCACTTAGGAAACAGAAGCAAAAGAAATGCTAATAATTCAAAGCAAGCCTGGGCTACATGGTAAACTTCAGCACAGGCTGAGCTACAGTTTCTCAAAACAAACAAACAGGGTTGGAGATATAGCTCAGTTGATAGAGAACTTACCTAGATCACAACTCAGTCCTGGGTTTGATCTGTAGCATGACATAAATTGGGCATAGTGGTGCACACCTATAATCCCAGCAATTAGGAGACCGAGACAGGTAAATCAGGAGTTCAGGGTCATCCTCGGTACATAGTGAGTTCAAAGCCAGCCTGGGCTATACAATCCTCTGTCTCCAATTTTTTTTTTTTTTTAAATAAATCAAGCAAACAACACAAAGGTAACTGCCCTATAAGGGCAGAAATAAACAAGTAGTTCACTTGGTCCTAGCCGGCTATTCTATTGCAGAACGTATTAACATTGCTTGGTTGACTTTGATGGTGGAGGAGATACCTGTAGGAACCAGAGTGCTCTCTCTGTCCATGAGACTTGTGACCTGTTCATTCATACCACAACTCACTTCACCTCTGAGAATATGTACTCCCAGAGTCTCCACAGTGCAGAAGGTCAGGCTGGGGAGGAGGGCAGAGGGTATCAGAGAACTGTCCCTTTCCACTTAAAGTACACACGGGTCAAATGTAGTAGTCTTATGGAATATTTGTGTAATGTCATAGTTTCATTTCTATTGATATAACAAATACCCCAACAAAAAGGCAACTCAAGGAAGGAAAGGGTTTATTTGGCTTACACTTCCAGGCTATATATAGTCCATCATTGAGGAGAAGTCTGGGCAAAAACTCACAGCTCTCAAAGCTCAGGGCCCTGCCTGGGGAATGGTGCTCTCTTCAGTGGACCATATCATTTAATAGTCAAGACAGTCCCTCACAGACATACCCACAGGTCAGCCTGGCCTAGGTAATTCCTCAGTTGAAATTCTCTTAGCAGTTGATTCGAGGTTGTCAAGTTGACAGTTAAAAGTAACCATAATAGAACTTGGAATGTGGCTTAGTGAGTAAATGCACTTACTGGCAATGTTTATGTCCTTAGTTTGATTCCCTAGTATCACATGGTGGAAGGAGAGAAATAACTCTTGAAAATTGTCCTTTGACCTGCACATGAGCTGTAGTATGAGTTCACACACACACACACACACACACACACACACAAACCAGCACACACACACACACACACACACACACACACACAAACCAGCACAGGTCCTATTGGTACCAAGTGTCCTTAATGATTCAATGATTTCTTTTCATTTTTGAGCCACCCTGGAGCGTCCAGAACTCACTATGTAGAGCAAATTGAATTTGAACTTAGTCTCTGCTTCAGCCTCCAAGTACTGAGATGACCTTTCTACCACACTTGGCTACTGTTTCATCTTTCTGGTTTGAGACAGGGTTTCTTGGTGTAGCCCTGGCTGTCCCGGAACTCACTCTGTAGACCAGGCTGGCCTCACTCAGAGGTCTGCCCGAGTACTGGGAATGTATGCCACCACCCCAAACTTTCTTTTCTCTTTTCTTTCTCCCCCCCCCCCCCAACCCTCTCTTTTGAGGCAGGGTCTGATGTAGCGTAAGCTGGCCTTGAAACTGTCTATGTAGCCCAGGCTGATCTTGAACTCTGGCCCTCCTATCTCCACTTACTGAGGACTGGAATCACAGCGCATGTGCCACCACACCTAGTTTATGTCGTGTTAAGGATCAAAGCCAGGTCTTCACACATCCTGGGCAAGCACTTTACCCAATGAACTATATCTCCGGCCCACTCAGTATTTCTTAAAGCAGCTTTTAGTTCTCCATCCCTGCCGCAGAGCTCAGCAAATAGTTTGGAGTGGTGGCACCCCATTAGCTGTAGTAACAAGCACTGTGGCTTCACATGCTCACTATATGAATTCTGAATTTATCCTTAGGAACAAAAACAGTGAAGGAGTCCACCATTTCTGACCCTTAGGGAACATGTTCCACATCCATCCTGTTTTCTGCCTTTCTAGGCTCTGATCCAGGATTCGTGTTTGGTAGACCCATTGACTCTTACACTGAGCAAGAGAGAAGTACAGACATCAGTACAGTAGTCCTGTGGTCAAAGCAAATAAATCACCCTTGGGGATGGATGGAATTGCCAGGGTCTCAGGTTTTCCTACTGTGGGTTCTGCCTGGGGAATGTATTTGAAGGCTCTGTTACCATGGCACCTAGCTCTGAGAAAAGGATACATGGAGAGCAATTTGGGGAGAGAAATAGAGAGATTTCTCCCTGGACTTCATTGCAGCCAAATGGATGAATTGGCTTCTTTTGCTTCAATAATCCTGGAACTGTGTGTATCCCCAGGGACCTGGGTCTTTGTCAGAACATTAGCTAGCATGTACTACACAGTATGTGGCCCAAATTTTATTTGGCTGGCAACATTGGTAGTGACTAATGAAGGCTATGGAACGTGTTCACTATGTGCAGATAAGAAGTTGGTTTTTACTTCTCCGTGCATGTGGATAGACAACCCCTTAGGTGCCTTTAGATCCTGAGATTCCAGCCTTTGTCCTGATGTGCTGAGCCTTACTCTGCAAACCCAGGCCTGCGAGACCTGTGTGGTCTCCAGGGACCAGTGATACAAAAGAGAAACAGAGAGCTAGAGAGATGGTTCAGTGTTAAAGTGTTTGTCATACAAGTGTCAGGAACTGAGTTTGAATCTCCAGAGTCTGGGACTCATGTCTGAAATAAGCCCCAAAGCCTCCTTCAGATGCCCTTGGTGAAGCAAGATAGCCAGGGCTGCTTTTCCAGCCTCTTCAGGCTTCCTTCCCAGTGGGCATAACGAGTGAAGCTTTTGGAAATACCTGCTTTCCAAAATACACACACACACACACACACACACACACACACACACACACAACACGTTTCTGTTCTCTCCTCCCCTCCTTTCCAAGCTTCCTGCAGGAAGGGGATCTGATGTGTTTTAATTAAGGGGCCGGAGAAATGGCTCAGCAGTTAGAGCACTTGCCACTATTGCAGAGGAGCCAGGTTGGATTCCCAGCACCCTCATGGTAGCTCAATACTGTCTGACTGTCTGTAACTTCACTTTCAGGGAATCTAATACCTTCAGGCCTCTGCAGGAACCAGGCACATGGTGGTATATATGTGTACATGGAGGCAAAAGACTTACACATACAAAAATTTTAAAATAATAATAAATTGGGGTCAGCAAGATGGTTTATGCAGTAAAGATGTTTGTCACTGGGCCTATCAACTAAGTTATATTTCTAGGTTCCACATGTTGGAAGGAGAGAGCCAGTTCCCATAAAGTTGTCCTTTGTCCCACATGCACTCATGCATGCTCTACACACACACACACACACACACACACACACACACCATAAGTAAATGAAATTTAAAAATTCAAATTGACCAAATAGAAAACAAAAGAGAAAACTGTAGTCAGATAAAAGGAATGTAAATTAAACTTGGGTTCCCTGGCAGGCAAAGTAGACTACTAAAGCCAGTAACTCAATCCTTGCCTTAATGTTCTAGGTTTAGTTCTGTGATAATGTCTCATAGCTTAGGCTGACCTTGAACTCCATATATAAGTGAGATAACATTGAGCTCCTTCCTGGTCTCCTGTCTCTTCCTCTTGAGTACTGCTATGGTTAGCACGCACTACCATACCCATTTTGTGTAGTGCTGGGGATGGAACCCAGGGATTTCTGCACACTAGGCAAGCATCCTACCAACTGGGCCACACTGAGGATTTGGGAGTTCAACACAGTTATAAAGGATCCTTTCCTGGTACTGGAGATGAAGAGGCATCAGAAGGCTTAGCCTCCCATCATTCAATGTCAACTCCCAGCAGTATATTTGGTGGTGTGAGCCTTTTGAGACCCATTACAGTGGGTGCTAAGAACCTACATACCCCTCAGTAATGAGAATGGGACTTGGCCAGGGACTCCTCAGGGCAGCACTGTCTGCAACTTCAGGACCACCTATGAAGTGAAAAACTCATTGCTGGTGTGCTGAAGAAGGAAGCCCATGGCCTGCCACTCTACTTTAGAGGCTCCTAAGAAGCCCAGTAGGGACGAACTCACATCAGTGTTTGCAAGTCCGTATCGCTACAGACAGAATTGGTTACAGAAGTTCCCTGTGCTCTGGATGTACCTCAGGCCTAATGCTGGTGCCATCAACTTCATAAAGGGATACTGGTAGGGATGATGGTTCAGTCAGTGAAGTGCTTACTGCATAGCATGAGGGCCTGAACCCATATAGCTAGGCGTGGCAGTTTGCATTTATAATCCCAGAGCTAGGGAGATGGAGCCATGAGGATCCCTGGAGCTCAGTGGTGACCCAGAATAGCAGAATCAGTAAGAATTTCCAGGTTCAGTGATAAAACCTGTCCACCCCCTCAAAAAAAAAAAAAAAAAAAAAAAAAAAAAAAAAAAAAAAAAAAAAAAAAAAAAAAAAAAAAAAACAAGGTACAGGGTATCTGAGGAAGACGCTCCACATTAACCCCAGGACACCACATGCACATATTTGCACATATGCAATAGGTATTCTCTCTCTCTCTCTCTCTCTCTCTCTCTCTCTCTTTCATACTTTCTTTGCTTACTCTCCAGTACTCTCTCTCTCTCCCGACACACACACAGCAAATGACTTTTCTCATGGTGGCTAGCCATCTTAATTTGCTTTCCATTGCTGTGATAAAGCACCATGACCAAAAGCAACCTGGGGAAGGAATTGTTTATTTCAGCTTACAGTCCATCATGAAGAGAAGTCAGGGCTGGAACTTGGTGGCAGGAACTGAAGCAGAGGGCATGGAGGATCGTTAGTTACTGGATTGCCCTACTGGCTCACATTTGCCTTTCTCATACCACCCAGGACAACCTGCCCAGGGGTGGCACCAGTCACGTCAATCATTAGTAGAGAAATGCCCTACAGCCTTGCTCTCAGGCCAATCTGATAGGGGCATCTTCTCAAATAGATTTCCCTCTTCGCAGATGACTCCAGTTTGGTGTCAAGTTGACAAAAGCTAAGTGGGCCGCCAATCCAGCTGGGAAAGATGGGAGGGGCGACTTCTTTTGCCCCAACAGGAATACTGTCTGTTACTGAGTTGTATCTGCAGGAGCTGTGGATGCAATGGAATTTGACCTCCATGCCTTTTCTTTGGTCCCTTTAGCAAGGGCTTTTTCTAAACTCTGGCTTTGCTCTGTTTGGTTTTGCAGGTGCTGCACATCCTACCGGGACCCCTTTTGGGCCGCCACCTCATCACAGTAACTTTCTCAACCCTGCTGTTTTTCTAGGTGAGTCAGAAAGATGGAGGAACCCTGCTGGCAGCCTATTCATGGCACCTGCTAAGCCTTCTGTGGAGGGACCTTGGGATCTCCAACCCCAGGATTAGTGGGGCCTGGTAGCAGCAGTGTGAGGCCGCTGGTCACATTGTGCATTCATGAAGCAGAGAGAGATGGATGCTGGTGCTCAGCTCACCTTCCCCTTTTTATTCAGTCCAGGACCCCACCCAATGGGCTGGCTCCACAAACACTGAGGGTGGGTTGGCCCACCTCAACCTAATCTAGACATTCCCCCACATTTTTGCCCAGATGGTGTCCCCTAGGTTATTCTAGATCCAGTTATGTTGACATTTGGTATTAACCATCACAAGGGGCTTGGAACAGAGAAGTATTCCTTGGCATCTCAGAACATGTATGTTTAGGGTAGACTCACCCTGCCTGTAGAGGACACCTAAGGGTCCTTCTGGGAGCTAGAAAGGTAGATGTGTCAAGCATTATAAC